GGGATCCTCTGCAACTCCAACTTGCGGACCTACACGACCTCGACCTTGACCTCTACCTCGACCTCGACTGCTCATCTTACAGGTTCTCACAAATGCTCACCTGCTATAATTCCACACAGGAATTAGAGACCTAGGCCAACTATACCAGTCTAAAGCGGCCAACTATACCAGTCTAAAGCCCTAGGCAGTGAATCACAACAATAATTCACTAAGCAAGCAGCCAATCACATACAACAATCAATCTCAGCCAACATGATTCGTGCACTTACCTCAAGTCCTGACGCACCTGCACCTCACATAATATTGCATAAAATCACTCAGTAATCACATCAAATAGTCTGGGGTACGCATGACACACAAGTCTCCCTAACTAACTACCCCAAAGTCATCGCTCCTTATCACTCCATGCTTCGACCAACTTGGATCGAGCTGACCTTGCTCTGATACCAAATTAACCGGGATGTCACGCCCCGAACCCCAACGGGCTCTCGACACCCCTTCGATGGCTGTATTGAACGCGACGTCCCAGGACACGTCGCCGACCCATACGAAACACGCAAAGACGTACACAAGCGGAAGCAAAATTTAAGAAACCCTGACGATAGTTAATGACAAGGGATAGTACGTGCATTAATCAAACAGTTGCTTACAACATCCATAAACATAACATTAAATCACGTTCATCAAAAGGGGTAGTGGTTGGGTAGCCTACTTCACTATACAAAAAAGGGACATCCACAAAAGGGATGAAGCATCAATATCCAACACCGCTCCCGGTCTTCGAATCGCACGTGACGACTGTTCGTCACTCCAAACCTGAAAATGTTTAACAACGGGGATGAGATAAATCTCAATAAGTAGACATCCTAAACCCCACGTAGGCCAATGCGTACCTAGACGAGTCTCAACATGCAATCTAACAATCGACATACTAGAACTCACATAAACATACATACCTCGCCTCCATTCACACGCCAACTCTGCATATCAGTCAAACACTATAACGTATCCAGCATAACACGTACTAGGAACACGCAAAGAAATTTCCCATGCATAATGCATCCACACTCGCGCGTGTCCCGATTATAAGGTAAACCCACTTGGGCACGTCTCATACCATGCTTAGCAGTATTCACCCCATAATCAAACACTATGCAACATGCGTGGTCCAGCCAACTTTCTCATGACCCGGGTCAACACCCTTCAGGCCCAACTTTCTTTCCACAGCCCGCGTAAACACGCCTCAGGCCCATTCTCACGACCCGCGTAAACACGCCTCAAGTCCTTTCTCACAGCCCGCGTAAACACTCTTCAGACTCAGCCCACCGATCAATACGGGCTCAATCCCGCGTAACCATGCTTAAGGACGGTTCTTTCTTTCCAATGACCCGCGTAAACACGCCTTAGGTCTTTTCTTGCCTTTCTCGCCACACCCGCGTAACCACGCCTCAGGTTGGCAGCCCTCCGATCAATCTGGGCTTTGTCTAATGACCCGCGTATACACACCTCAGGTCTATCCTGCCTTCCATAGCCAAGCACATGCGCCACATAATGCATTCATTCAATTTCTATGTCTTTCACGTAATCAAATATCACACAACCATTTCCAAACAACCACAACACAATTCGCCATTGAATCAAATCAACCCACACGTACTCTAAATTGATCACGCTTTCAACAATTCAAGTCACAATTCGCCAAGCTTGCTCAGCCCCACCTAGGTCAACAATTCCAACTCACAACCAAGCACATTTAACTCGAAGACGAGCTCTAAACTCGAGCACAAGAGCAACAACGATTCAGCCACGACATAACCCACATAACATCATGATTTAGATTGCAAACCAAGTCACAAACTCATCAATATCAGCCCAACTCAACAAGCACTAACAACCGCCAGTCGAGCATTGAATTACACACAAACGATCATTAAACACTACGCAATTTCCAGCATCAGCCGGCCTAAAAAACAGTCATAAACCACCCCAAATCAGCCCTCAATTGTTCCTCAAACACGACACCATTCGATTCAACAACTCGCCAACGATTAAGCACAATTCCTACCATCAAATGGCCCTACCACAGTACACACGACACCACTATTCAGCTCTCCATAGCAACATACGAAAGATCAACATTCCCACCTACGAACTAACCCCCATCAGCCCACGATTAGCACACAAAACAGTCCCTAATCGACCATAGATCCGCTTTTAATTGCTCCTAAACAAGTCCAACAATACCTGAAGTCCTAGGCGAAGTTTAGGGTGTCGCTTACCTCGGGCCTAAACGAGAACGGTCAAGCGTGGAGGGTAGCAAGACTGCTGGAATGGAGCAGCAGCGGCGTCAGCATAGCCGTGACTCCGGCGGACCCGTGGCGGCTCACGGCGGCGACGGACGAGCGGCTGCCACAAGGGAGAGGAAGCAGACAAAGGGCTGAAGCAGGGGTGGCTGCTGGGTTCACGGCCGGAGGGCGGCCAGGCGACGGTGACGGTGACGGCGACGGCAGCTGGGCGACGGAGGCTCGGCCATGGCCGCGATAGTCCGCCCAAGGCTGAGCTGGGGCGACGCTGGCTGTCCAGGCGAGCACGGCGACTGCAAGTGGCCAGGCAGGGTTCTTTGGGAGCTGGGTGGTGGCGGACGGAGTAGCAGCGGCGGCCGGAACGGCGTGTAATATTCTGAATCTTCGATCCTTTTCCCGGGATTTACATAATGAATATTTTCACCCGAAACCGCGCATTCACGGGATGCTAACCTTAGGGGTAAGGCCATTGCGGGATTGAGTTCGCACGACCAAAGAACTCGACCTTGGTCCGACCTTTGACCATAAGGATTGACGAGGGAATGTTTTGGGCAAACAGAGAGCGATCTATTTGATTGATCGTATCCGTAGGGAACTAGCGACAGAGCCTCGCAATTATATGACAATCGAGGTCGCCTTGGTTCGAGCAAACTTAAACGTAATTTGACTTAGTGACGGTCACGGGTCGAGAGCGCGTAATCCCAATGAGCCACCCGTTAGCAAGAGATAAGCTAAAGTCGTGATTGTTCGATTCTAGTCATTTCTTGGAATTCGGGCTCGGGAATCGAGAATTTTGAAAGTGATTATTTTTAGTGGCTGATGGCGTTTTTGGTGTGGCCAACCTTGGGGCCACCCATTTCTGTAAAAAAAATGGATTTCGGTTCGGGACCGGAAAAATGACCGTTTTGCCCCTGGGACTGCGAACGAATTTTGAGGACTGGATTAAGTCGTGGGACTGAGAATTACCCAGTATGGCTGAAAATAAAAAGACAAGAATGCCCCTCTCCCTTTATGGTCAATTACTCCTTTGCCCCTTGCATTATTGGATAAGATCAATCGTGGGCCGTTGGATGTGGATAAGATCAATTCTTGGCCATTGGATCGGAGGGGTAGATAGGAGGTATTTTGGTAATTCCTGGAGTGCAATTATTGGGGTAGAATATAAATACCATTTTCTCTCTCTCTCCTCAATAATTCTCTCCCTCTCTCTCTCTCTCCTCACCCCCTCCACCGATCGGCTCTCCCTCTCTCTCCATCCCCGTGCGTGAAGCCACCTTGGCTGGCCACCAGCTCGCCGCCGCCTGGTCGCCGACGGCCAGCCGTCCGCGCCGCCGCTTCTCCCTTCCGGCCGTACCTTACCGCTCACCGTTCCCTCTCTCTCTCTCTGTCTCGCCTGTCCATTCAGCTCAGCCACCCACCGAGCCACCCCTGGTCATCCTCCCCTGGTCCATACGACCAGATCGCCACCCCCAGCTGCCCGTTCACTACTCGCCAGCCACCCGTCTACGGTGGTGCAGCCGCTCGCATGCTTGGCCGCCGGCGCCGCTACTGCTGCCGCCGCTGCTGGGCCGTTCATTCCAGCCTCTGTCCAACCAACTTGCCACCCCTTTTTGAGGTAAGTGACTTCCCCAAACGTTACCTAGGACCTCGGGTATTGTTAGACATGTTTAGGGCTTGGTTCGAGTAGTTTAAGTGGCTGTTTTGGGACTGAGATGAGGGCTGGGTGTTTGGTTGTTGTGGGCTGATTCGGGGACTGAAAAAGGTGTGGTTTAGTAGGCCCGGATGAGCTGTGGTGAGGTGGATTGATTATTGACTGAATTGTGCATTGGTTGGTAAAGCTGTGCTTAGAATGAGTTCGTATATGCGATTGTGTGATTTGCGTTTAATGGCTGAATTTTGAGTGATCGTCGGACTGAATATGGCGTGGTTGTGTGGCCGTGAGGCGTGGTAGTGTGATTGCGCATTGAGTCCGCGTGCCAAGCATGTGTGATCGGGTGGTGTGTTCGTGTGATGAGGACGTGTATTGGTGAAGTGTATGTGAGATTGTGTGTGTGTGGCTGTGTGTATGTGTGGCGTGAGATTGGGTGTGGACATGGTCTATGTGTGGTACGTGTGGAATGTGTGGAACGAAGGTACGGGAATGTAGGATTGGTTGGAAAAGTTCCGTCCTGAGGCGTGTTCGTTTACGCGGGACGATGCCGTTCCTGACGAGGTGACGATGCCCGGCCCAACGAGGTGACGATGCCTGACGAGGTCAGAAGACCGTTAGCCTGATGCGTTTTACGCGGGCGCGGTAGAGAAGGAAAGTGAGAATGTAGGATCCGTCCTGAGGCGTGTTCGTTTACGCGGGACGATGCCGTCCCTAACGAGGTGACGATGCCCGGCCCGACGGGGTGACGATGCCTGACGAGGTCAGAAAACCGTTGGCCTGATGCGTTTTACGCGGGCACGGTAGTGGTGAAAAAGTTGGGAATGAGCTGGACTTGGCTTGACGTGTGAGGATTGCGAAAATTGGTGCATGGTGTGAGTTAGTGTGCGAGTGTGGTTTGTATCGCGTGATGTAGTGCTCGATTATGGGGTAAAAACTGCTAGGCATGGTATGGGACGTGCCTAAGTGGGTTTTGCCTTATAATCGAGGTACGCGCGATGGTAATGCATTACTGTGGCATGTTGGCTGTATTGTTATCTAACGTGCAGAGACGTGCATGATGGGTCCCAGGTAAGATCGTATGTGGTTGTTTGTTTGGCTAATCGTTGTGTGTTATGCGTGTTTCGTCTGGCGGTACGTGAAAGCCTATGTAGGGTTTGGGGTTGTGCACTTATTGAGATTCGTCACATAGTTGTATAACCAGTTTTTCAGACCACCAGCCTTGAACCTAGGAGGCCCGCCTCCCCGTTTTTGGAGTATGAAGAGCTGGCCATGGTGCCCCAGTGGAGCTGCAGGCGATTTCCCGTACCGTGGTCCAAGTGATCTCCCGGGGCACGAGCCAAAGGACGCTGAAGCAGAGTGGAGGAGGCGACCATTAAGTTTCCCTAGGGTATTTTAGGGGTTGCGTAGAATAGGTCTGACCAGTCACCTTTTGATAGTTAGGTCGACCTATAGTGAAGCTAAGTTAACCAAGCCACCCGATCCTTTTGTTATGTCGGTGGTTTCAAATGTTTGTTTGCTAAGTACGTTTGTAATATGATGTTTGAATGCTCGATGATATGGCAATGTGTATAAATGAATGTTGTTGTTCTTTGAATGCCTTGGTGATCTGCCCCGTCGTCATCTTTTTAGTCAGGGTTTTTTTATATTCGCTTCCGCATGTGTCTCTGATGTTTGGGTTGGGTCGGCGATGTTCCTGGGACGTCGCAACTATTCGACCGGAACGGGATGTCGCGAGCTCGATGGGGTTCGGGGCGTGACACGGCGGCGCGCGGCGGCTGGACTAAGCGGAGCTGGGGAGAGCTCAAAACAGGGGAGGCGTCGGGGAGGAAGGAAAAAGCAGGGGAAAGGGAGGTGGTGGCGGCCAAGGGGGCAGCTAGGCGGCGGAAGTGGCTGAGGGGAGAGGCCAGGTAGCGGAGGCGGAGCGGTGGCGGCCGGAACGGCGGCACGCGGCGGCGGCAAAGCTGGGGGCCCGAAACAGGGGAAGGCGTCGGGGAAAGAAAAACAGGGGGGAAAAGGGAGGTCGCGCGGCAGCCGGAGGCGGCACGGCGGCGTCGCGGGTGGCCGGGCGACGGAGGTCGGGCCGGCGGGCGGCTGGACAGCGCCGAGCGAGCCGGCGACAAAGGACGAAGTGGCGGCTGCTTGCTCGCGTCAGCGGCCAGCGAGCCGCGGCGAGGCGGTCGCGAGCGACGAGCGGCGACGCAGCTTGGTCGGGCGACGGCGGCGTAAGGCGGATGGCGGATGGTGGCTGGGCTGGTCCCGGCGAGCAGCAAGGAGGAGGAAGCAGAAGTCGCGGCCAAAGAAGAAGAAGGGGAAAAAGAAGAAGGAGAGAGGAAAGAGGAGAGAGAGAGGAGAGGGGACAGGTCTACATGCAGAGAGAGAGAGAAGGGACGTGACTGGGGGAAGCGTGCGGCAGAGAGGAGAGAGAGAGAGAGAGAGAGGTAGTCAATCGTAATCGAGTGCAATCCGACGGCTCATATTCGAACTCGAAGTTGATCCAACGGCTCACGAAAATCCTAACTAATAATTTAGGAAAAAGGCCAGAAGATACTAATTAAAACACACTACGAGGGAGATCTACTAGTCCAAATTCGCACTCGGTCCAAACTTGACTTTTCACTTATCCCGGGCAATATCGAGGCTGGCCACAATAATATCGACACCGTTCAATTAAATTCGTCACGAAACTTTCAAAAATTCGACACCAAAGTTTGGGCTCTAAATAACGGCCAAATTCGATCCAATGCAATTCTAGCGAAATCTCTAATTTAAAAATAACCCAAAAGTGATCAGTTCCAGCGAGATTTTATTATAAGCGCAATGACGAAATACACGTTTTATAAATCCAAAAAATGAGCCGAAATTCGGAATGTCACACATTTAATCTCTGGTTTGCAGTATTAAGGCAATTCTCCCATTATTTTACTTGGGTATTTAATCGATCTACCATAAACTGATTAGTGGTAACTCCTAGATAAAAATCACTTGCAGGTTAAAAAACCTAAACCACAAATTGCAACATGGTATGGGCTTGGAAGAGTCCAAGTTAAGTCCCTGACCTAGACTTAACGCATCTAGGGGAGCCCATTTTCCTCGCAGAAAAAGGCGGATCGCGACACTAGCACAAAAATGAAATTTCTGCTCGTGTTTGTGACGTAGTTTCTGTGTGTGCAAGTCACTCTCCCGATCCTATCGTTTGAGTAGTCGACCTTGGGCTACATCACAATTTAAGATTAAGTGATGTTTCAATAATCAATTTAGCTAGAAGAGGTCAAATCCCCCTATATGAGTCGCCTTAACGGAGTGGATTAAAGATGGCGTATATGTGAAATAAACTAGTTAGGATAGTCAAATCCCCATGTGTACTCCGGGAGGTCATTATAAAAAACACTTGCTAGACTTCCATTCAACCTAAGAAAAAAATTCAATGATTTCCTAAGAGACCACTAAAACTAAACCTTAAAAGGCACGAAACAATAATGGTTGGCCAATTCTTCCCCTGCGCATATTCATGCTTCAATCTTAAAATTTGGAAATCAATGCGGATGGGAGATCGACTTTCCTCCCTTCTCTCCGATTTTGTGCTCCTATCCTTTCGACAGAGCCACTCCGTCAGTCGATTTTGGTGATATTAACAAGCTATACTTTTCATAATTGAACATTTTCTCATTGAACATGTTTAACAAATGGTCGGAGTCCACTTTTTATCAAAACCCTACCTTTTTATCAATTGGTATAATGGCGATGGAAGAAACGGATGCCCTTAGCCATATATATTCAGATTTTTCTAGTGGATCGCATGTAATTGTTCTGACATCATAAAGCGATTCTGAAGTAAGTGACACCGTGAGATTTATATTTCAATATTATGAAAATCTAACAACATGAGAATTAACTTTTGTCACCAAAAATTGTTTTGGCTAGCTATAAAGCAAGCGAACCTCTGAATCGCAAAAGCATTTGGTAATGCGAAATTATGCAAATGACGACACGAAAGAGATTAAATATTTGGATTAGCTCGAAGTGGGACTTCATTAGAACGATGCGTTGTAAATGGATCAAGAAGAAAACTGTCTCTAAGAATATGTGTAGCATAGTATGCACAGCTTTTGTCACAAAATTATATTAATCCCCGCTTAGGACCATTATATTGCTGTCACTGGGCATAAAACTAATTTCTCACCCAACTTTCCCCGAATAATGTGAAAAGCACCCTCCATTACCTTCACCGGAACTTTGGATAAGCAATTGGACCGTGCCGTGCCGGGCCCGGAAGAAACAACGGGTCGTGCTTGGACAGAGGCCCGCCACACCCATGGGCCCTGATGGCTGGCCCGGGCCCATTTCTTTATATTTGACTAGTGCCTTCTCAACACGTAGGATTCACTACTACTTGAGGCGATCGGTATGTTCCTGATCTTTCTCTTGACTCGTTGCCTTTACCAATTATATCTTTCGAATCTGCGTCTCCTTCCATTAGATCAGTGAGAGTGAAGAGAATTCTCTCGGTTATCTTGGTAAACAAACGTGTAGTTTCGATGGAAAATAGAAGCTGCGTGTAGAGATTTTTCTTTGAGACACTTGGATATTAGATTTTAGATTAATTTGGGGAAGTTTAATTTGCAAGTGATGATCTATTATGCGAATAGTGAATTATTAAGTGACAATTTCTCTTAAAAGCAACTGAAAACAATTATTTTTAAATCATTGCAACTTTGAAAATTTTGACATTCTACATATAATGAAAGCAACAGTTCTTTACTTATTGCCTTTGCATAAAATTTTTTTGCACTAGTACATAAACTACCTACAATGCACGCAGTGTTTTCTTGACAGAGTTGAAGAAACAGGTTTTAGCATCACATATTTAAGCTATATGAAATCGACTTACTTTATACATTCAAAATATAAGTTAAGCATCGGACTTATACTTCATCAATGAAATGAAAAACGAATATCTATTGAAGAGAGAAAGCATATAAGGGCGCGTTTGGTAACGTTTCTATTTTTTTATTTTTCTGTTTTTTTGTTCTCCGGAACAAAAAAATAATAGAAATTCATTTGGTAACGTTAGTGAATTTTTCTATTTCTCGAAATAAAAAGGTGATCAGGAAATAGATTTGGAACAGAAATATCTTTGTTTCCAGAAATAATAAACAGAAACAAAGAAGCAAAAAAAAGAAATCCAGGACCGTCGTCTGCAGACCGTCTTCTTCCCTTTCAAGCCGCGGCTTCAGCTCCTCCTCCATCCTCCATCGTCTGCAAACCGTCTGAAAGCACCGGCCACCAACCCCGTCACTCGCGGCGAAGCCCCGGCCAGTCGAAAGCCGCCGGTACGCCTTTCTATTCTCGTCTTTGTTTGATAGTGTGGCGATTCTATAGGGACGCCGTTGAGCGAGGGCCGCCCTCGCCGATCTGGGCATGGGCCGCGGCGAGGGCCGCCCGCGCCCAGATCGGCGAGGGCTACCCTCGCTTGACGGCGGCAAGGGCGGCCCTCGCGCCCAGATCTAGGCGAGCATTTGAATATATCTTCATGTTTGGGAAGCCCGTTCTCGGCGGAGCCCGATGGAGCCAGCTCCGGAACCTGCCGTCTCTTCGGTGCCGAAGTGGAAGCTCGATTGTCGGTATTGATTCTTCCGTTTTTTGCCTTCGTGCAATGCGTTTGCTACGTTTTCGCTGGTCCTGCTGAGTTTCGGGCATGTAGAGTCGCGGCATTCTGTTATGTGCTTCCGTGTCTTTGTAATCCTTCGACTCTTGCGTTTATGTGGAGTGCCCGAGGTGTGTGGAGTGCAGGTGCCGGGGTAATTGGATCGTGGAAGATGTTTGCGGATTTTTCGTTTCTGAGTTTTAATACAGTTGAATGATTGGGATGCTGACGAGTGGGAGATTATGAGGAGTAGTTACAATATAGGATGAGTAATTTGTGTTTTTCCATGGAAAGGATTAGCAATGACAAGATATTGTTTCCCTTAATTTGTGAGTGTGAGGCTAAGGGAACACAAGCTTCGTGTAGTAATTGCATTCAATGCAAGTTAGCCCTCAGGGAAGTGGTGATCTTTTGTGGTTTGGCTTTGTTGTACAGGAAACATGGGCCATAAATCTCTGGCTTTTAGTGCTGGATAAATCTATCGTTAACCTCGTGGGTTATTAATTGTTCATGCAGGTGTAAGAGCTCAGGTTGCCACTGTTGAAAAAGTGATCACAGAAGGTGCTCAAAGCGTAGAATCGCCTGTCATGATAGTTACCGGAGCCTCCAGGGGTATTGGTAAAGCGTTGGCATTATCACTGGGTAAAGCAGGTTGCAAGGTGGGTGTGATCTTCTCAATCCACAGGCTTTGATTGTTAGCAACTTAGTACTTTGCCCGCTATGAGTGTTCTGTTCTGCAAATGAATGATATATTTTCTTACGCACATCTGTTGCTTTCTCTTGGCAAAGTGGCTACGGTGATTTGAGTAAACAGACTCCCTTATTTAGCGAGCCATTCTGAAACAATTCAACGAATTGCATACTTTGGTTCTCAAGATACAGTATATCTTCATAACAGGCCATAATTGTGTATGCGTCAGTGTGTGTGCATGCACACGTGCCATTCCTCCTAGTGTGCATTTGTAGATGCACTTCTGCCTTGTATTTTGAGTCAGAATATCCACATTAAAGTTTTTCGTTCAATTTCCACAAGTTGAAAGAAAAGATATTTCCAAGAAATGTAAAAAGACTTGGACATGGTTGATAGTATTATATAGCTAATTGATGTGACTTAAACTCAGAACTCAAAACGTTGGATCATGAAATAAATGACAGAAACTCTGCCACTTGCACTTTGCACAAAAGCTACGATATTTATCACTTGTTAATTTTTTTCGAGTTTTCTGAAACTTTACATGTATTAAGCCATGCATAATTCTGACAAAGTAATTCGAACTGTATTTTATTCACCCTTAGTAAGCCATCCGTCATGCCAAAGTAATTCTGCCATTGTTGGCTCACTTAACAACATCATTTCCTCAGGTTAATGCTATTGCTCCAGGGTTCATTGCATCTGATATGACTGCCAAACTTGGGGAAGAAGTTGAAACGAAAATCTTGGAGACAATTCCGTTAGGTGAGATATTAAGGAGTGGCTGCCGGTAATGTGGTATTTCACCGAAGAATTGCTGATTTAGGGATGTTCCAATCCTCTAACTGTTTCTGAGGACATTACATGAGATCTAATAACACTGAAGTATGAATTATATTTTATACTTAGGAAGATACTCGCTATACTCGGGAAAGTTTTGGTGGCTTTAGGGTTGAAGAGGGATTGAGAGTATCGTTAACCCCCAATGGAAAATCGAATAAGAAGAACGGACCTCGTATCCGTGTTGTGTTGTCTTAACTAAGAGTAGCCCTTCAAAATTTATTTTATCAAAGAGTATGCGAGACTTCTGTTCTGATGTTAGTCATCTTTATGAGTTCAGGAAGGTACAGAAAGCCAGAAGAAGTTGCTGGACTGGTGGAATTTCTTGCCATCAACCCTGCGGCCAGCTACATTACAGGACAGGTAAAAGAATCGCTGTTCCCGCTGTTTTACCCTTTTCCCCCCTCATGACGTTGTTTCATTTGCTTTGCTTAATAATTTGATGTTACTTTGCTTATTGGTTTTTTTTTCACTTATAACTTGTACTTATAGTTAAATAAAAGATATAGACTTGAATGAACAAAATTGGGAATAGAAATTTTTTTGGTTTTACCAAACATATTTCTGTTCTTTTTCTATTCCAGGAATAGAAATTTTGTGCAGTTACCAAAAGCATTCTTTTGCTCAGAAACTCATCCAGAAAATAGAAATAGAAAAAACTATTTCTGAAAAAAAATTATTCCCAGAAACAAAAACGTTACCAAACGCACCTTAAGTTGCACCTAATGTTCTCTGTATTTTTTTTTCATGTAGAATTTACTAAGAAATTCTCACCAAATTTTTTTTTTGTGTAGCCTTTATGACTACTTGAAGTGACTGCAACAGTCTTGATCTTTCTCTAGACTCATTATGGGCTGATCGTGGCACCATCGTGGCCTGATCGTCACAAGATCGTGGCTCATTCATGCCCAAGGCATGGTCTCGTCTTTCCGAAGGGACTTGTAGATTTGTCAATTCCCAGGGAACTCGATTACCTATTCATCCTCTATGGCTGCTTGGCTCGACCACAACCCATGCACTCAGCCATGATGCCTACGGGGAGCCATGCGATGCACAAGTCATCCATCTATCCATCTTTGTCTAGCGGTGCTCTATTTGTTGCCATTAACAATCATATCTTGTGAATCCGCGACTCATTCCATTAATCTTGGGAATGAACGAGTTGCAAAATTACAAGATTTTGATTAGCAATAGCAATTGAAGCTTTGCGTGGAGATTTTCTTTGAGATTACGGGATATAAATTAAGATTGGTTTGTGGAAAACCGGCGCCAAATATAGTAGTTTGAATCTAGTTCTAGCAGTGCACAACTGGCTTCAAAATTACACCCCGACCAAACGGTATACCCAAATCAACTTCTCTAAAAATTCTACAAACACTGCAAAATTTCCTTACCATATGATTTCATAGTTCAACAACCTCTAGATCAACCCAACAAGTCAGAATTCGACATAGTACAAAATTAAAACTTTACTAAGAACTTCTCTCCCATTAAAGGAATCAAGGATTAAAATTCGTACTGAGCGCTTTGACACGGTGTTGATTCAACATGTTGAGGTGTCCGTGACTTGTTGAATCGAAACACTCTCTCTCTCTCTCTCTCTCTCTCATTCTTTTCTTAGTCCTTCTCTCTCTCGGTCACTTCTTTTTCTCTTATTTTATTTAACACCACCTGCAGCAAAAATCTTTTCTTGAAAGAAATTTTTGATAATTTTTCCAAAATGTTTCTTTTACTGCACCATTCTCGCAACATTCTTGATCTTTTTCCAGACTCGTTGCCATTAGCAATCATATCCTATGAATTCGCGGCTCGTTCCCTTAGATCTTGGGAAGAGCCACGGAATCACAAGAAGTTGATTAGCAATGGCAATTGAAACACTTCGTGGAGATTTCTCTCCAAGACATTTGGATGGAAAATCAATTTTCCAATCTTAGGCTGCGTTTGGTCGACCGGATAAAAGCCAGGATATGATATATTTTATCCTATCCTGTGTTTGGTGGTGGTCCAGGATAGGATAAGGTCGGATATAGACCGGATATAGCCCGGATAAAAAAATCCGAGGGGGGGGTGAGATAGACCTGGATAGGATTTCTAATGCCTATTTTTCCAGAAACCCTACGCTCCACTCGCCGTCATCTTCATCCCCACACCTTGTGCGCTTTCACCAAAAAAATTTCTCGACTTTTTTTCCTTCACCGACTCCTCCAGACCCATGAATAGCAAAAAAAAAAAATTATCCTATCCGACTTTATATCCGTAGTCCACCAAACAGTGGATAGGATATGAAGAAATCTCAGGATTTCTTATCCTATCCTATCCAGTCCTATCCTGTTTAGAAATCCGAACAACCAAACGCAGCCTAAGAGAACAACAAGTGTTATTGAAGAAAGAAAGCATAGAAGTTACATCCAAAGTTCTCTTCTTTTATTTCTTTGAACCAGTTGTGTCGAACTCGAATGTCGAGGACAACCTCATTGTCCATAAGAGAATACTCTACGGCCAAGTTGACAACTTTGACGGGGTAGAGAAAAATTCTGAATCGAAAGTCATGCCAAAACAAACCGTAGAAAAGAAACTCACTTTGGCTTCCGTTGATAAACTCTTTTTGTTAAAATATGTCTCGAATTTGAGCTCGATATGCGAACCCAACTCGAGATTAATTGTTAATTGTGGAGATCCGAATATTCCAAATTGGATATTTTGTGGAGGTCCAAAATCAAGCAAAGAAGAACATGCGAAAATCAACTTCCGAATCGAAGTCCGAAAGTGCGTTGGAGAATTTGGCTACTGAAAAGGAAAGTTAAATATTCTTTCCTAAATGAAAGCAGTGGAAGTCACGGTTCAAATAGGAAAGTCCAAGTTAACTTGACCTTGTTGACTCGGTCAATGTGTCAGACGAAGAAAGAAAACAACGAAGAAAAAGCAAATTGCCATCATGGAGGATTCGGCCAAGATTGATTATTATATATAATACCCTTGGGTTTATTTGTGAAGTTGATGAGGTGTGTCGTGAGTGCTCCAACAAAAGGAGGCGCTGTTGTTAATGTGAAGAGGCTACCTCGCCGTGGGCATTGAAGTTTCGTCAATTACATCTTGGTAAAGATCTGTTAGTGTTTGTAGCCAATAATTCTTGTGGTAAGAATTTATGTCAATTCTTTCTTTCACGAGAAGAAAAGATTATTTTGTGAGAAATTATGAGGCTAAACACTATATGAGTTATTGAGTGTAATTGAGGCTTGGGAAACACTTAGAGTGTTTGAGTGACTCGAGTGTGATTGTAAAATCTGTTATATTGCTTGATCTATAGTGAAATTTCGTGCTGCTCTCCCCGTGACTTAGATCACTATGACCGAACCACATAAATCTAGTGTTTGATTTATTTTCTTATTCTGTCTATTTTATTATTCGATCGCTTGCTTCCGCAACAATTGGTATCGGAGCTAGGCTTGACTAAGTTGAAGCGAATCGATGGTGATAAAAGAAGGAAAAGTGAAAATCGACATATTTGATGGGAATGATTTTGGTTTCTGAAAGATTCAGATTGAGGATCATCTGTATTTGATGAAACTATACTTGCCTCTATCTGGGGAGAAGCCAGTGATGATGAAACAAGCTGACTGAAAATTGCTGGATAGACAAGCTTTTGGTGTTATTCGGCTGACGTTGGCTCATAACGTCGCGTTTAACATCGTGAAAGAGATGACCACTACCGGTTTGATGAAAGCCTTATCGGACATGTACGAGAAGCCCTTTACGATCAACAGGGTCTATTTGATGTGACGTCTATTTAACTTGAAGATGAGCAAAGGTACGTCAGTTGCTCATCATATTAATGAATTCAATGTAATCATTAATCAATTGAGCTCAGTTGAGATTGACTTTGAAGATGAGGTATGTGCTTTAATTCTATTGTTCTCATTGTCTGATAGTTGAAATACTACTGTTATTGCTGTTAGTAATTCCTCTGCGTCAACAAGTTTGACGTTTGATGGTGTTCGAGATTTAATTCTGAGTGAGGACATCCAAAGAAGAGAATATGGTGAACATGTATTTGCTGCTTTAGTAGGTGAAAATAGAGGAAGAACTGGTACTCGTGTTAGCAGAAGTAGTATAAACCTGAATAGATGAAGTCAGTCTAGGACTGGTGGTGTTATTTGTTGGAGTTGTGGTAAAAGGGGGCATCTTAGAAGGGATTACTTTAAGCTAAAAGACGACAAGGGTAAGAGAATTAGAGTTGAGTATGTGGATGATGTTGTAGCTATAGCTAATGGTAATTCGGATAATGCTGATTATATCTTGTCTGTCATTGATGATTCGTCGTTTGGCGGATGGATTACGGATTCTGGTTGTTCTTTTCATGCTACACCAAATAGGAACTGGTTGACTACGTACGGATGGTAGTAAAGTGCAGTTGGGAACAACGCTGAGTGCGATGTTGTAAGTGTTGGTGATATTAAAATCATAATGCATGATGGTATTGTGTGGGCATTGACTGCAGTAAGACATGTTCCAGAGTTGAAGAAAAATCTTATTTCCTTGAGTGCCTTGGATTCAGCTGGCTATCGGTATTCTTCAGAATGTGGAATTTTGAAAGTTGCTCGAGGTGCTTTGGTGATAATGAAAGGAATCAAGCACAATGACCTATATGAGTTTCAAGGTGAGACAGTGACAAAATTCGCTGCGAAGACGTCGGATGCATCGGTTTGAGAGTCTGAATTGTGGCATATGCGTTTGGGATACATTAGCGAGAGAAGCCTAAAAGTTCTAAGTGAAAGAAATTTGTTATGTGGTTATGTGGTTAATGAACTGAATGTATACAGGTGCTGTGATTAAAATCAACGGCGGAAAGTGCAATTCAATGCAATTGTCAAAGAAACCACGGATATTGCAAAATTTAATTCACTTAGATGTTCACAGGTTGTCGCGATTTCATTCGAGAAAGAGTGCCAAATTT